AATGGGGAAATGCTGTCCCCTCAATGCTAATGTAAACCCTGGTTGGATAAGGATTCAAAACTGGATATGAAGATGAAATCTGACGCACAGTTTCAGAGTTACAACTGATAAAATAATTGCTGTCTGTGGTTCTACAGTAGGCTATGGTGTAATTGAGCAATATATGAAAAAAAAAGAACTATGAACTAGTTCATTTTTTGGAACTGTGAACTTCGTTCAAAATTTTGAACTATGAACTGAACTAGTTCATTTTAAAATGTGTGAACTGAACTTTGAACTAGTTCACGTAGAAAGAGAACTTTCCCAACACTGGTGGCAGTAGTGTTCTTTGACAAACATGGATGCCTCCAGTAAAGCACATTCACATGAAAATTACTCTGAATTAAAAACACTGATCATTTATTGATCAGGATGGAATCATTTCAGATTTAAAGAACTTTCTGAAGTTTGGATTCTGAATATGAGCGACTTTACCTTTAAATAATATTAAGACCTGTGGTGTCATCCGAGCATAAACCTCACTGAAAAATTACAGACTTTGTTTCTTGTTTGACTCGTTCATCAGATAGAAATCTGAAAGGTGTGGCATGCATTTAAACCCAGCCCTCTAAATGAATCCCCTGCAGAACAGAGATGGACGTTCAGGAGGCTTAGAGCGGGTCAGTAGACTCTGAATCTGTCCCTGTTGACACTCATTCAGCAGCTCTTTAAGTCAATTTAAAGCAGCATTTGGTGCTTTAACAGCATCAACATCCAACTCTCAGAGGACTCTCAGATGACTCTCAGATGACTCTCAGAGGACTCTCAGATGACTCTCAGATGACTCTCAGATTACTCTCAGATGACTCTCAGAGGATTCTCAGATGACTCTCAGATGACTCTCAGATGATTCTCAGATGACTCTCAGAGGATTCTCAGAGGACTCTCAGATGACTCTCAGATGACTCTCAGAGGACTCTCAGATGACTCTCAGATGACTCTCAGATTACTCTCAGATGACTCTCAGAGGATTCTCAGATGACTCTCAGATGACTCTCAGATGACTCTCAGAGGATTCTCAGATGACTCTCAGAGGATTCTCAGATGACTCTCAGATGACTCTCAGAGGATTCTCAGATGACTCTCAGATGACTCTCAGATGACTCTCAGAGGATTCTCAGATGACTCTCAGATGACTCTCAGATGACTCTCAGAGGATTCTCAGATGACTCTCAGATGACTCTCAGATGACTCTCAGATGATTCTCAGATGACTCTCAGATGACTCTCAGATGACTCTCAGATGATTCTCAGATGACTCTCCGATGACTCTCAGATGATTCTCAGATGACTCTCAGATGACTCTCAGATGACTCTCAGAGGATTCTCAGATGACTCTCAGATGACTCTCAGATGACTCTCGGATGATTCTCAGATGACTCTCAGATGACTCTCAGATGATTCTCAGATGACTCTCAGATGACTCTCAGAGGACTCTCAGATGACTCTCAGATGACTCTCAGATGATTCTCAGAGGATTCTCAGATGACTCTCAGATGACTCTCAGAGGATTCTCAGATGACTCTCAGATGATTCTCAGAGGATTCTCAGATGACTCTCAGATGACTCTCAGATGACTCTCAGATGATTCTCAGATGACTCTCAGATGACTCTCAGATGATTCTCAGATGATTCTCAGAGGATTCTCAGATGACTCTCAGATGACTCTCAGAGGACTCTCAGAGGATTCTCAGATGACTCTCAGATGACTCTCAGATGACTCTCAGATGATTCTCAGAGGATTCTCAGATGTCTCTCAGATGATTCTCAGAGGATTCTCAGATGACTCTCAGATGACTCTCAGATGATTCTCAGATGACTCTCAGATGTCTCTCAGATGATTCTCAGAGGATTCTCAGATGACTCTCAGATGATTCTCAGATGACTCTCAGATGACTCTCAGAGGACTCTCAGATGACTCTCAGATGATTCTCAGATGACTCTCAGAGGACTCTCAGATGACTCTCAGAGGACTCTCAGATGACTCTCAGATGACTCTCAGATGACTCTCAGAGGACTCTCAGATGAAGAGTCAGACGTTCTACTAAGTAATAAATCTTTCTTTGCTCCAGCCAGCTTTGCTGGTTTTAATGCATCATGGACAGGCCTTCTTTTTTCTCCCACAAGTTTAAATGAGATGGACCAAAGAGTCCTGATGCCCCCTCCCCACAAAGGACTGGTAGGCTGCTATGATTTATGCTTCTCCTGTTTACTGAAAAATAACTGAACACATTTCAAAATGGCTCAGATTTATGGTGAACAGCTCACTAACAGACCTCAGCAGGAACGTGAGCTGAAAGATGTAAAACAATAGTAGAGAGGAAGAATTTTAGAGCTATGGCTAAAGGGCATAGAGTGGGTTTACTCCCAGAACTCCCAGTTACTCTCTGTTTACTACATTAAATCAATAAGTCTAACTTTATAAATCCCAGCTCTCAGCTGCTCCCTTCTGCTCTGGGTTTTCATAAAAACGACGTTCCTCCATGTTTAGATCTACAGTGGCTTCATCTTCTGACCAGGAAGGTACAGTTCTACAGTCCATTAAGCTACGGACATCTGAAGGAGCATTTCCAAATACCAAAGCAATACCAATAATCAGCGTAATTCTTAGGACGCCCACATAAAATAGTTTTTTTTATTTTTTCAGTGTCCTGTCTGGCGATGTGGCAATAAGAATAATTATCCAGAATTCAATCAGAGAGATCAGTGGGTTTAAAAGGGAAGCGTTTAATAAATTCTCAGCATACAGCGGCCCGTCAGCTGGATAGATTGGACAGATCCAAGGTCAGCAGGCAGAATCCAGGTAACAGATTAGGCAAACAGAACAGAACTGGGGGAGCCAAACCTCAGAAGTAGAGAGGCAGAAATTATTCAGGATCAGGTAATCTTAAACACACAGGTTCGCCAGAAAACACTCACACACATCGCAAATAATCCGGCACTGATAGCTAGGAACAGACAGCTTAAACAGGAAACATGAACAGGTGGATCTGATGAGTGACAAAGAGCGCTGGGTGGAAGAAACTAGCCATCAGTGGTAAGATCATGACACGCCATGTGTTTTCTAGAGGGGCTACTGCGGCCATATTAGCATCACCCTCAGAGTCTGACTCTGTAGGCCAGAGGTCCGCTCTGGATGGCTCTGCCTCCATGTCCCTCAGCATCACTCCCCTCTCCTGTGCTGATGGTTCAACCAGACAGTCCAGTTCCAGAGTAGATGATCTGGAATGATCATCAGTGTTTCCATTCATTATAGCATGCTAAGCTAGCTCCCATGGTGTTCTCCTGTTGATTTTTTATGAATGATTTTAAAGTTACCTTAGATCAATGCGGCGGCGGCGGCTTTTTAAAACATCTTGCACTACGTTCACCTGCTGATGGTGGTGAGCTACAGGGTATCCACAGCCGCCCTGGTTCTCACTGAAGTACAGAGAAACCACCAGGACCTTTGACCCCCAGCAGCTGGCTAGATGTCCCGCCTGAGGGGGGGGCGCAGCAGGGAGACTCCACCCGCCACTGATCCTTATGTTTCCCATTTATTGCTGAAATTTAAATCTCACTTTAAATCACAGATGTTCATGTTTTATTTGTTATCCAAAGAAAAACTCATTTTGAGGTCTGGATTTAATTATCCGAGTTCAGCACATTTATCCCTGATCAGCATATGAACTATTTAGGAGAAGATAATAAGAGTTCAAATACACTTTAAACAGTTATTGGTCCTCAGGCAGCTTGTTGTCATAAAACTTCCTCTTCCTTCAGGAAACATAATCGTCTTTTCCAGCTCATGAATGATGATCCAAGAATGAGTAAAAACTGGAATTCCATCATCAATTGGTTCTTCACTCTTTGCTCGGCTTCCTCAGACCAATCCCAGCACATAAACCCAGAATTTAGGCCAAACTAAATCCTCAAACACCCACTGATAAACACAGGCATGTAAATATAAACCTGATATTTGATGCAGATCAGATCACATCAAAAGCTCAGGATCTCTCCTCAGTTTCTTCTTCTTCGGCTCCATTCTTGTTTGAGCTTGTTTCTCCTCAGAGACCTTCTCTGTTCCTCCATGTTCTGACAGGTCAGAGTTACAGAACATCCTTCAGTTCAGGTCCAACCTCCTGGGATTAATGCGACAAAATTACTATGTCACTAGTTTTAAGCCATTTCCGTTTCATTTTTTTATCTTTATGATTTCATGAAAGCAGTGAAACTGAACCCATTTCTAAGCAAATTCTAATTAGCATTTCAAGTAGAGCTGAAGGTTAACGGAAAACCTGAGCTCCTTCAGCCTGGAGGAGCTGGAAGTTTTACCTGTTTGATCAACAGGTAAAACGCTCTCTGGTTACATAACAGACCTGCAGATGTAGAGAATATAGCCGCATAAATCAGATTTATCACATTTATTGAACTGAATATGTTAACAATATGGATCTATGTAAGATTATTTTTCTCACTAAAACAGAATATCTTCTGCAGATCATCTAATCTATCAGGAGGAAACTAATATTTCAGCCTGAATGCTGCATTCAAACACTATTTGTTTTAAAAGCTCTTCAGAAGGATAATGGGAAGGAAAAGATAAATATAGGGTTAAAAAAAAACAAAAAAAACATAAATTAATGGTTTTTACGTTTTTATCAAATGAAAAATGCATAGGAAGAAGCCGTTTCCAGGGAAACAGGCGTGTTGTTGGTATGCACCTATAAGACAATCCCGACTCACTGAAAAAGGTGGAACACCCACATTGGTCCCCAAGAAAAAATGTGTGACTGGCTCTTAAAAAACAAAAATTCATTGATTTTTTTTACCACTTTCCAACCTTGAATCTTCAACATTTTAATGAAAAATTCCGGATTCAGAAGCATTTTGATAACATTTCCATATGAATAACATTTTCCTAAATAAGACTTTGATTTTCAGCAGAATTATTTAAAAATAAGCTCATGAAACAGACCTGGACTAAAGGGACGGTTCCCTGGAAGAGACTGAAGGCAACAAGACCAAAGAGACATCAGGAACAGCAGGGAACATTGGTGGGATTTGCACAACAGGAACAGCAGGGAACGTCGGTGGGTTTTCCACATCAGGAACAGCAGGGAACGTCGGTGGGTTTTCCTCATCAGGAACAGCAGGGAACATCGGTGGGTTTTCCACATCAGGAACAGCAGGGAACGTCGGTGGGTTTTCCTCATCAGGAACAGCAGGGAACGTCGGTGGGTTTTCCTCATCAGGAACAGCAGGGAACGTCGGTGGGTTTTCCACATCAGGAACAGCAGGGAATGTTGGTGGGTTTTCCACATCAGGAACAGGAGGGAACGTTGGTGGGTTTTCCACATCAGGAACAGCAGGGAATATTGGTGGGATTTGCACAACAGGAACAGCAGGGAACGTTGGTGGGTTTTCCACATCAGGAACAGGAGGGAACGTTGGTGGGTTTTCCACATCAGGAACAGCAGGGAACGCCGGTGGGTTTTCCACATCAGGAACAGCAGGGAATGTCGGTGGGTTTTCCTCATCAGGAACAGCAGGGAACGTCGGTGGGTTTTCCTCATCAGGAACAGCAGGGAACGTCGGTGGGTTTTCCACATCAGGAACAGCAGGGAATATTTGTGGGTTTTCCACATCAGGAACAGCAGGGAACGTTGGTGGGTTTTCCACATCAGGAACAGCAGGGAACGTTGGTGGGTTTTCCACATCAGGAACAGCAGGGAACGTTGGTGGGTTTTCCACATCAGGAACAGCAGGGAACGTCGGTGGGTTTTCCACATCAGGAACAGCAGGGAACGTCGGTGGGTTTTCCTCATCAGGAACAGCAGGGAACGTCGGTGGGTTTTCCTCATCAGGAACAGCAGGGAACGTCGGTGGGTTTTCCACATCAGGAACAGCAGGGAATATTTGTGGGTTTTCCACATCAGGAACAGCAAGGAACGTTGGTGGGTTTTCCACATCAGGAACAGCAGGGAATGTTGGTGGATTTTCCACATCAGGAACAGCAGGGAACGTTGGTGGGTTTTCCACATCAGGAACAGCAGAGAACGTCGGTGGGTTTTCCTCATCAGGAACAGCAGGGAACGTTGGTGGGTTTTCCACATCAGGAACAGCAGGGAATGTTGGTGGATTTTCCACATCAGGAACAGCAGGGAACATTGGTGGGTTTTCCTCATCAGGAACAGCAGGGAACGTTGGTGGGTTTTCCACATCAGGAACAGCAGGGAACATTGGTGGGTTTTCCACATCAGGAACAGCAGGGAACGTCAGTGGGTTTTCCACATCAGGAACAGCAGGGAACGTTGGTGGGTTTTCCTCATCAGGAACAGCAGGGAACGTCGGTGGGTTTTCCACATCAGGAACAGCAGGGAACGTCGGTGGGTTTTCCTCATCAGGAACAGCAGGGAACGTCGGTGGGTTTTCCTCATCAGGAACAGCAGGGAATGGTGGTGGGTTTTCCACATCAGGAACAGCAGGGAATGTTGGTGGGTTTTCCACATCAGGAACAGGAGGGAACGTTGGTGGGTTTTCCACATCAGGAACAGCAGGGAATATTGGTGGGATTTGCACAACAGGAACAGCAGGGAACGTTGGTGGGTTTTCCACATCAGGAACAGGAGGGAACGTTGGTGGGTTTTCCACATCAGGAACAGCAGGGAACGCCGGTGGGTTTTCCACATCAGGAACAGCAGGGAATGTCGGTGGGTTTTCCTCATCAGGAACAGCAGGGAACGTCGGTGGGTTTTCCTCATCAGGAACAGCAGGGAACGTCGGTGGGTTTTCCACATCAGGAACAGCAGGGAATATTTGTGGGTTTTCCACATCAGGAACAGCAGGGAACGTTGGTGGGTTTTCCACATCAGGAACAGCAGGGAACGTTGGTGGGTTTTCCACATCAGGAACAGCAGGGAACGTTGGTGGGTTTTCCACATCAGGAACAGGAGGGAACGTTGGTGGGTTTTCCACATCAGGAACAGCAGGGAACGTCGGTGGGTTTTCCACATCAGGAACAGCAGGGAACGTCGGTGGGTTTTCCTCATCAGGAACAGCAGGGAACGTCGGTGGGTTTTCCTCATCAGGAACAGCAGGGAACGTCGGTGGGTTTTCCACATCAGGAACAGCAGGGAATATTTGTGGGTTTTCCACATCAGGAACAGCAAGGAACGTTGGTGGGTTTTCCACATCAGGAACAGCAGGGAATGTTGGTGGATTTTCCACATCAGGAACAGCAGGGAACGTTGGTGGGTTTTCCACATCAGGAACAGCAGAGAACGTCGGTGGGTTTTCCTCATCAGGAACAGCAGGGAACGTTGGTGGGTTTTCCACATCAGGAACAGCAGGGAATGTTGGTGGATTTTCCACATCAGGAACAGCAGGGAACATTGGTGGGTTTTCCTCATCAGGAACAGCAGGGAACGTTGGTGGGTTTTCCACATCAGGAACAGCAGGGAACATTGGTGGGTTTTCCACATCAGGAACAGCAGGGAACGTTGGTGGGTTTTCCACATCAGGAACAGCAGGGAACATTGGTGGGTTTTCCACATCAGGAACAGCAGGGAACATTGGTGGGTTTTCCACATCAGGAACAGCAGGGAACGTTGGTGGGTTTTCCACATCAGGAACAGCAGGGAATGTCGGTGGGTTTTCCACATCAGGAACAGCAGGGAACTTCGGTGGGTTTTCCTCATCAGGAACAGCAGGGAATGTCGGTGGGTTTTCCACATCAGGAACAGCAGGGAACGTTGGTGGGTTTTCCACATCAGGAACAGCAGGGAACGTCGGTGGGTTTTCCACATCAGGAACAGCAGGGAACGTCGGTGGGTTTTCCACATCAGGAACAGCAGGGAACGTTGGTGGGTTTTCCACATCAGGAACAGCAGGGAATATTGGTGGGTTTTCCACATCAGGAACAGCAGGGAACATTGGTGGGATTTGCACAACAGGAACAGCAGGGAACGTTGGTGGGTTTTCCACATCAGGAACAGGAGGGAACGTTGGTGGGTTTTCCACATCAGGAACAGCAGGGAACGTTGGTGGGTTTTCCACATCAGGAACAGCAGGGAACGTCGGTGGGTTTTCCTCATCAGGAACAGCAGGGAACGTCGGTGGGTTTTCCTCATCAGGAACAGCAGGGAACGTCGGTGGGTTTTCCACATCAGGAACAGCAGGGAATATTGGTGGGTCTTCCACATCAGGAACAGCAGGGAACATTGGTGGGTTTTCCCCATCAGGAACAGCAGGGAACATTGGTCGGTTTTCCTCATCAGGAACAGCAGGGAACGTTGGTGGGTCTTCCACATCAGGAACAGCAGGGAACATTGGTGGGTTTTCCTCATCAGGAACAGCAGGGAACGTTGGTGGGTCTTCCACATCAGGAACAGCAGGGAACGTTGGTGGGTCTTCCACATCAGGAACAGCAGGGAACGTTGGTGGGTCTTCCACATCAGGAACAGCAGGGAACATTGGTGGGTTTTCCCCATCAGGAACAGCAGGGAACATTGGTCGGTTTTCCTCATCAGGAACAGCAGGGAACGTTGGTGGGTCTTCCACATCAGGAACAGCAGGGAACGTTGGTGGGTCTTCCACATCAGGAACAGCAGGGAACGTTGGTGGGTCTTCCACATCAGGAACAGCAGGGAACGTTGGTGGGTTTTCCACATCAGGAACAGCAGGGAACATAGGGGCACAGCAAATTCTTTGTGTCGTGCTCCATGATGATGAGGGTGATGATGGTGGCAGGAGCAGCAGACCAGTTAGATAATTTGATTTGGATTAGAGTTGCTTGGAGGAATGACACAAATTCTGCAGGGATTAATCCGGCTTTAATTCAATCTGTCCTCTGCAGCCTGAAATAGCCCGGCTCAGTTCCGCCACACCTCATCTGGATCCAGGCTGATCCGTCGGCTGCTTTCAGGTTACGTTGGAGGAACGTTTTTAGACAGAACCACAACATATTCAGGTGGATCAAAGTTGGGTTGAAGCTGCAGACTCAATCAAAAGACTTTATGTTGTTATGTTTTGGCTCACAGCAGAAACACGACTTGGACAGATGAGATGAAATGAAATTCCAAAAAAAGTAAAAAAAAAAAACAATCCACTGGACTTTGTTTCCATGCATCGGCGTCGCCAGACCCCATTTACTGCGGGACGTGCCCCAGTATAAATGAGCTGTGCCCCAGTATAAATGAGCTGTGCCCCAGTATAAATCTCATGAATATTTGCAACAGTAATAAATTTTTTAATGCATCAATGAAAATGATTCCAACGGGAGGAGACGTATATTTCTATTCCAAATTGAGGATGTAATAGCGCCCCCCACGTCAGCGCATGTCACTGCATGAACTGCAGGTAAACTAACGCGCTGCTCTCAACTGAGTTGGATGGGACACTGTGCGGCCGCGACACATTTTTAGTTCTGGTAACGTTTCTTACCTGTCAATTTTATTTTCCCAGTGAAACCACATGATTTATAGGCTACTAACTGAAAATGACTGCATTGGTTTGTAGATGGATATCAGGAAATTCCTCACATGAAGCAGAGACAGGGAAGCAGTAACAAGATGAGAGAGAGGTGTTGGAAGCTGGAGAAGTACCTCTCTTCTCCAGCAGAGTCCGCCGTGGATCCTCCTGAGCAGAGCCCTCTGCACAGCTGCTGCTCGTTACCATCATCAGGAGGACCCACTACTTAAGCTGTCTTCAGACCTTGCCTCAACGCCGCAGTGTTGAGCCAGTTGGTTAGAACCTAAACCTAGAACCTCTGAGAACTTAGTTTGCTCTGAATCCTGACAGGATCCTAATCTTGTCTCTGTCTTTCCAGGAAAACCTGATCTTCCCTTGCGAAGCTCTGGAAGAGCTTAACCTGCCGAGCCTGCCCTCTGAGCCAAACCTGAAGATTACCTCTGGATTCACATGCAGCTCTGGACCAAGAGCTGGAAACCCAAAGTCAAGGTCTGCTACCTTCCTAGAAGCAAGATGCTGAAGCAGCTAACGGACTCTGCTAACCAGACTCTCTCCAGTTCCAACAACCTTCCTCTCCAAGTGCTATTCAAGGACCCTCAAGGTACAAACCAGAAACTATCTAAGGACAGTCCTCTAAGAACCCAACTAACTAAGCTGTCTTCCTCACAGACTCCGGTGAACCCGTTTTTCCCAGGACCAGAACCTGAACACATTACCTCTGAAATTGTATTCAATAAACTCTGTGAACTTTTCAACTGTTTCCTGCCTCGTGGTGTTCTGCATAATTGGGTCACATTCGTGTACCGATCATGACAGAACACTGCGGCCAAACACAGGACCCAGCAGAGCACCTCCGGAGGAGGCTTGAAGTACTAGAAGCTCAAGTCCATGGTCAAGCCAAAACCCTCCGTGAGTTGAATGCTTTTGTTGAACACCATAACCAGACTTTACAGTCTTTCGCCGGCTATTTTGGAAGCGCTAATGCCGTTCCGGCAGCGCAACCACTTCCGGGTCCAATTCCCCCTCAGAGGTCACCAGAAGTGACGTCATCAGAGTTCCACCCAAGCCTTCCTGAGAAATTCTCCGGCAATATGAAGGATTGCAGAGGATTTTTATTTCTGTGCAGATTATTGTTTCAGAACTCTCCCAACAGTTTTTCGACGGACTTTAAGAAAGTAACCTTTATTCTCTCTCAACTAACAGGAAGAGCTTTGGAGTGGGCCCAGGCCAGATTTCCCTCAGATGAAAGTCTCAACTGCCGATACTCTGATTTCATTTCTGAGTTCTCCCAGGTTTTTAATCAAGAAACTGATCAAACAATTGACTCTCGTGCTCTTTTCAGTATTAAGCAGGGAAATTCATCTGTGGCTGATTTTTCGATCAACTTCCGGGTTAAGGCAGCAGCTTCCGGATGGAATCAAAGTGCTCTGAAGGGAGCTTATTTCATAGCCTTAAATGAGAATATTAAAGACGAACTGGCAACTCTCGACGAGCCAGCCTCCCTTGAGGATCTAATCAAATTAACAATTAGATTGGACAACAGAATTAGAGCCAGAAACAGCTCCAAGATAAGAGATTCTGGGTCTCACGCCCCTACATCTGCCTCAAATATCGTGACTGTTTCTTCTCCTCCCACAGAGCGACCAAAGGCCCAGTCCCTCCCTCTGCCTGTTCAGGCTTCACATTCAGGTGGTATGGAGGTCGAACCTATGCAGGTGGGACACACTCGGCTTACTCCTGAGGAGAGACAAAGACGTTTTTTGAGCAGACTTTGCATCTATTGTGGTGAAAGTGGACATTTCATTGCTTCCTGCCCGGCTAAATTAAAAGGCAGGGCCCGCCAGAGGATCTGAGGAGTCTGGCGGGCCAAACCAACTCTAAGAAATCTCCTCGATTGATGCTTCCTGCCACTTTGTTTTGTGATAACCAGAACCTCTCCTTTTCTGCCTTTATTGACTCAGGCTGTGAACGGAACCTCATAGACTCTAACCTTGTTCAACAGTTGATGATTGAAACTGTTCCCCTTTCCCAACCTCCCCGTGTCTCTGCCATTGATGGGAAAAGTATCCACCAAGTTACTCATCAAACTCAACCCCTCGAGCTCCTCCTCTCAGGTAACCATCGTGAAACTATCACATTTTTTGTCATTCCTTCCGCATGTTCCCCATTGGTGCTCGGATTCGAATGGCTGGAGAAACACAATCCACGCATTAATTGGACTGAACGTCACGTGGAAGCATGGTCTTCGTTATGTCATGAGACTTGTCTTCGGTCGGCAGCCCCCGGGGTGGGGCCTCCTAGAGGGGGGGGAGAGATGGACTCTCCTGACCTATCTTCAGTTCCCTTTGAGTACCATGACTTGGCCCCGGTCTTCAGTAAGGTCAGTGCTACGTCCCTTCCACCACATAGACCATATGACTGTGCAATTGAGTTGTTACCTGGAGCACCGTTACCCAGCAGCCGTTTATATAACATCTCCAAACCAGAACGAGAGACAATGGAGAGGTATATTAACGAGTCTTTAGCTGCTGGAATTATTCGCCCGTCCTCTTCTCCTTTGGGTGCTGGTTTCTTTTTTGTTGGCAAGAAGGATGGTTCATTAAGACCATGCATTGACTACAGAGGGTTGAACCAAATCACTATAAAGAATAAGTACCCTCTACCTCTCCTAGCCTCAGCTTTTGAACCTGTTCAGGGGGCAACAGTCTTCACCAAACTGGATCTGAGAAACGCATATCATCTCCTCAGAATCAGAGAAGGAGATGAATGGAAGACTGCTTTCAAGACACCATTAGGTCAGTTCGAGTACCTGGTGATGCCTTTTGGTTTAACAAACGCCCCCGCCTGCTTTCAAGCACTAGTGAATGATGTTCTCAGAGACTTTTTAAATGTGTTTGTCTTTGTCTATATAGACGACATACTCATTTATTCACGGAACTTAACTGATCACAAGAAACATGTCCGCCTGGTGTTACAGAGGCTACTGGAGAACAAGTTATTCGTCAAGGCAGAAAAATGTGAGTTCCACCAACCATCAGTGACCTTTTTGGGGTTTGTGCTCGAGGGCGGGCAGGTTAAGCCTGCTGAGGACAAGATAAAGGCGGTATTGGACTGGCCGATTCCTGAAACTCGAAAACAGCTTCAACGGTTTTTGGGGTTCGCCAATTTTTACCGTCGTTTCATTAGAAATTATAGCCAGACGGCTCAACCTCTGACCTCTTTAACTTCGGTTAAGAGGAATTTTCAATGGACTCCCGAAGCTCAGTCTGCTTTTGACAAACTGAAATCTTTGTTTTCCAGAGCACCGGTGTTAATTCAGCCTGACCCTTCTAAACAGTTCATCCTGGAGGTCGATGCTTCGGATTCTGGCGTTGGAGCCGTCCTTTCCCAGAGACTCGACTCAGATCAAAAGATTCATCCATGTGCTTTTTTCTCTCGCAGACTCTCATCAGCAGAACAGAACTACGGCGTTGGAGATCGAGAACTATTAGCCATCAAATTGGCGTTGGAGGAGTGGAGACACTGGCTAGAGGGAGCTGAGCACCCGGTTCTAGTCTGGACTGATCACAAGAACCTTGCTAGCATCCAGTCTGCCAAACAGGCCAACCCTCGTCAATCCAGGTGGTCCATTTTCTTCTCCAGATTTAATCTCGTTATCTCCTACAGACCCGGATCAAAGAATGTGAAACCAGACTCCCTCTCGCGCCTATACTCCGTCGATCAACCCGAGACACCAGAGCCAGTCCTCCCGGCCTCTTGTACTGTGGGAGTCGTGAACTGGGAGATATCCGATCTCATTAACTCCGCCCTGGCCACGGAACCCGACCCAGGTAACGGTCCGGCTAACAGAACTTATGTTCCGTCTTCCGTCAGGTCCAGGCTCATTCAATGGATGCACACTGCCAAATTCTCGGCCCACCCTGGAGTCAGTAGAACTATCGCTCTCATCACCAGACGCTTCTGGTGGCCCACTCTCCACAGGGATGTAAAGGAATATGTGCTGGCCTGCCCCATTTGTGCTAGAAACAAGGCCTCGCATCAGCCACCTTCTGGTCTGCTACAACCTCTTCCGATCCCTTCACGTCCATGGTCCCACATTGCCATAGATTTCGTCACTGGTCTCCCGGTCTCTCGAGGTATGTCCACTATACTCACCATCGTTGACCGTTTTTCCAAGTCCTGTCATTTAGTCCCTCTCAGGAAGCTCCCCTCGTCGTTCC